CTTTCTTTCTTTCTTTCTTTCTTTCTTTCTTTCTTTCTTTCTTTCTTATGAGATACCTCATTTAGAATGGCATTTTTCTAGTTCCAGCCATTTACCTGTGAATGTGAATGTCTTTATTTCATTTTGTTTTAATGGCAGAGTAATACTCCATTTTGTAAATGTACCACATTTTCTTTATCCATTCTTCTGTTGATGGACATCTAGGTTTCCATTTTCTGGCTATTATGACTAGAACAGCAGTGAATGGTTGAGCAAATGTCTCTGTGGTTGAATGAAGTGTCTTTTGGGTATATGCCCAAGAGTGAGTGGTATAGCTGGATCTTGGATAGATCTTCTTCCTGAGGAATCACACTGATTTCCATAATGGTTGTACAAATTTGCACTCCTACCAGAAGTAGATGAGTGTTTCCTTTACTCCCCTTTGCCAGCATGAGCTGTCACTTGTTTTATTGATCTTAGTGTGTATAAGATGAAATCTTATATATTTATTGTTGTAAGCCCTGTAGCAGTGAATAGTTAATCTGCTATGGTGCTTTGGCTCCCTTGTGTGCTCTGTACCCACCCAAGAGCTCTGGGGACACATGCTGTGTGAGCGTGAACACACACACACACACACACACACACACACACACACAACCAGCTGATTTTGATATGCCTTGACTAGCTCAATGGCTAGGAACTTCTAAATCTCCACATGGCTTGCACACAGTACCCTCTGGTATTCCTAGCTTAACACCTTCTAAATCTGTATTCTATCTTTGCTGCCCTGTTACCTTCTAGGCAGCCCCCCCACCCACCCACACACAGGGCTGCTTTCCCTTTCCACCTACATTGCTGGATGATTTCTCTCCTGCAGCTCTTAAATCTGATCCCTTTGTCTCTGAGTCATGGTGATTCTCCTCTCCTTCTCCCCTAGGTCCATTGCCAATGGAATCCAAAAGTTCCCTTCTCTATCTTCCTGCCTAGCTATTGGCTATAAGGCAATTCTTTATAACCAATCAAAGCCAGCTGGGGGTATGGACCCTCAGTGTCTATAGACCAGGCTGGCCTTGAACTCAGAGATCTGCCTGCCTCTGCCTCACAGGGGCGAAGATTAAAGGTGTGCATTACCATGACTGGCCTTTTATTCTCTTTTTGTTCAGTAGTTTCCAATGTAATGAGTTGCTTTCATAGGATCTTCCAAAACTAACCGTTAAAATTCATTTGTTTAGTGGTGTTTTTTGTTTTGTTTTTGTTTGTTTGTTACAGGATTTCCCTGTGTAACAGAGCCCTGACTGTCTTGGACTCACTTTGTACTGGACTGGCATTGAACTCACAGATATCCATCTGTCTCTACCTCTTGAGTGCTAGGATTACAGGCATGCACCAGCATACCCATCTCATTTGTATTTTTAATATGCTGTGGATTTCTGAACCTAAATGTTCATTCAGTGTGTTTTAACCTTGTGCAATGATTACTGTCCAAGTTCCTATTATTCCATCATTAACAAAGGAAGCTTCTTTAAATGAGCTCCCAAATCCCTTGGGATTACTCTAGGTGTCTTTGAGACTATTTTTCCCGCTCTCTGATATGACAAATATTCAGGTATATCATTTACTTCTCCACACCTACAACTGACGATGTCTTCAAGAGGTGATATTCCTTTCTAATGTGAAGATTATAATTAGAAACCCCTGCCTCAGTGTTGGAGTCATCTTTACTTGTAGGTCACCATTTCTAAACTTTTTGTATTAAAAGCTGATATGTATGCATATGAATTGTGTTGTTTTATTAGGGTCAACAAGTTGTGTTCAGACTTACAGGACAGTCTTAACCTACACATGGCATCCTGTTCACTTGGAAAGATACATGATAGTTCACTTGACTTGATGGCAGGTTGGCATCAAGTCTCATAGTCCTCTTGGCAGGCTTGGAGGACCCAGGTATCAGGAAACAAAGTTCACTGTGACAAGTACAAGAGAGTCACTGGCCTAGATGCCTCTGTGCCCCCAAAGGAACAGCTCCACGAACATAACTGACAGAATTTTTTCAATGGTGAATCCGCACTCAGGAATTTCCAGTGTTATGACTGTCTACTAGGTATTTATAACTCACATCCACAATAACTTATCAATTGGCTCATTTAAGCAGTGTTACCAGATAGCATAGTTGATTATTGTCAGCCTACCTGGAAAAAGGAGCAGAAAACTTTAAAAAGATAAAATATACCTTGAGTTAATCATATAGATACTTAGATTTATATTTTAAAACTGTAAAAATTTTACTTGGTATCATTAATCTGTCTTAGTTAGGGTTTTACTGCTATGAACAGATATCATGACCAAGGCAAGTCTTACAAAAGACAACATTTAATTGGGGCTGGCTTGACAGGTTCAGAGGCTCAGTCCATTATCATTAAGGTGAAAGCATGGCAGCATCCAGGCAGGCATATGGTGGAAGAGGAGCTGAGAGTTCTACATCTGATGGCTGCCAGTGGAAGACTCACCTCCAGGCAGCTAGGACTAGGGTATTGAAGCTCATACCCACAGTGACACACCTATTCCAGCAAGGCCACACCTCCTCACATTGCTATTCCCTGGCCTAAGCATATACAAACCATCACAATCTCATACCTGTATTTCATCTTCTCATGTCTAAAATCCCAGTTCCAAGTGGTACCAACATAATTAATGACTTGCTTTATCCCTTAATACACACATAGCAGACTCTTAATCCCAATACCAGCTCTGCCATTGACAACATGATTACTGAATGAGTTCAAGACTTTGTCCTTAAACTTTCTTTTGTCTTTAGCATGCATACCTTAAGGATGCAGGGTTAAATCATAATGTTTTAAATTTAATTGAAATCATTTTATGTACTTATGCCACTATATGATAAACATGTTTAATATTTACAGGTTACTTTTAAATTTTGTATTAATTAAATAATTGTATTATTTAATTATGTTAAAGTGAGCTTCTAAAGTCATATCTGTAAAGCAGAATATGATCAGAGAGTTCTGGCTTCCACCCCTGTGCTCTCTACGTTTTTCTTTCTGGGTGACCATTGTCTTTTAAACTACAATCTTGCTTTATTATTTTCTTAAAAAGTAAGCAAAAATGGAATTTCTCTATATTTTTTTTATTTAGACAGTTGAGAATTATACTCTTTTTTGCTTCCTTGGCTTATATTCTCAATTCATGGCACTAGTATTTTAAAATAAACAATCCTGCAATCATGGTATATTTGTTGAGCTTTACTTGCTCATCTGTTTAATCTCCTGATCAACTTCAGTTCTGGAGTTGAATTGTGATGCTTCTTGGCTGAAACAAAGTCATGTGATGATTCTTTCTTTGATTTACCATCGTTACAGGCAACAAGATTGACCTGGCTGAAAGGAGAGAGGTCTCCCAACAGAGAGCAGAAGAGTTCTCAGAGGCTCAGGACATGTATTACCTGGAGACTTCAGCCAAGGAATCTGACAATGTGGAGAAACTCTTCCTTGACTTAGCATGCCGACTCATCAGTGAAGCAAGACAGAACACACTGGTGAACAATGTATCATCACCCTTACCCGGAGAGGGGAAAAGCATCAGCTATTTGACTTGTTGTAATTTCAACTAAAGGCTGAGGCAAAGAGAATCAAAGGGAATCAGTAGTTGCCTTGGTGGGCCATATGTTGCTAGGGAATCTGGCAATGACTATGGCTCTCGCTCTTGGACCTTCTGACTCCTGTAGGCTCCAGAGCTTACCAAGCATGCAGGCCAAGGGCCTTGACTACAGGCCAGCATTAGCAGAACACATAATGGTTTCAGCCTTTTGCAGTCTGGCGTTGGAGCAAGGAGAAAATTGCACTAAGCGCTCCATGATCTGCAGAGCATGTTGCTTTTGTTTTTAAAAAAAGCAAGTAAAAATGCATTCCTGAACACAGAGCAGGGGATCATGTACTGTAGGAATCCTTCTGTGTGTCAGCGGGTGCATGAGGGGCTGTTCTTTAGGCTTCAGTGGTAATCTGGTGCCCATGGATTTCTTGTCTACCAGGTAAACCAAATCTGGAAAGGCCAAGTACTGTCTCTGTAGTACTTATTGATGACTCCATGGAGATTTTGAAAAGTGTTATTTCTTTTGTCCACAAGCACTTTCAAAACCTTTGGGATATAAAAATGGGAACTCTTCTCATGACCAACAGTAAAAATTATTGTTTAATAATATATACAAGCTCCATGACTCTTTTTGGTGCTAATGATTATGCTATTTCACAGACCAAACGTTTTAGTACATTGATACCCTTAGATGTATTACCTAAAATAAAAAGAGAATGGGGGAAATCCATGAGTCAGCAGTCTTTTTCAGTCTCCTTACCACCGTTTCTAGGATGGGTTTGGATATGAGAAGCCCTTTTACTTTCATATTCTCCTTGAAATTTATTAACTTTCTTCTATTCTTTCACACTTATCCAGCCCTTCAAGTAAATTAAAGTATAAAAAATATGGGGAAAAATATAAATGATGACATTCTAATAAAGAAGACTAGTTGTACCAGATGTTGAGTAGCAAGAGAAAACAGAGCAGATATGACCAAAATACTGTGGACTATGGACTGACTGCAGAGCAGACTTCCAGACAGAGCGCAGCTCTCTCTAATAGGTCACGCCTTTTCCTTTCTGGAACTAGCCTTGGATGGACCAAGGTTTAGGATTTTGTAGACATTTTTAGTATAATAAGTGAGAATAGCAACAGATGAAAAGTCTCACAAACCATTTTTGTATCTTCAATAAACTTAGGAAAGTGCTGCTCAGGAAGCAGGCTGAGTTGTCCTTTATTAATATTAATGTTGATTGCAGATTCATGACCACACATTTCTTTTCCCTTTATCTTTTCTTTCCCCTAGTCTCCCCTTAAAGTGTTCCTTTCCCCACTCCTTCTTTTACTCTTTCCTTCCCATACTGGTATGCATGTATTACTCAAAATCTCCAATTCAAATGGAGGTATATATGCCTTTACTTAGCCAATTTCACAACAGGACTCAAATTGGAAGATGTGCTGCTGAATGAGTTCCTGTTTCTTCAGTGCCATGTTTTGATACCTTCCAATTTGTTCACTGTCATAAATGCAAATACGACAGTAATTAAGTCTGTATGCTCTTGGTGTTGTCAGGTGTCGCTGTAGCTTGCTGTATAACATAACTGAGTATGAATCACTGAATGAGGATAAGATGTGTAATTCCACTGTTGGTATTGATGGTGACAATCTTGGACCTGACGTGTCACTCTTGGAAAGCTACTGAATTGTAAGGCAATGAGTCAACACAGCAGGTTATTGATAACACATTTCTAGCATTTCTAGAAGATTCCATAATGTCCAATCTTTTTTACATGTGACTGCATGTATTATTAGCAGTCATTGGTTTTGACTGGCTCACTATGCTTTTCTTGATTCTATAGGAAAGAAAAAAGCTTCCTAAAAGTTTGAACTGTCTTTCCTTTATACAGGAAGGGGAAATAAACCACTTAAATGAAAATAAAAATCATTTATATCTTTGCTTAATAGCCAGCAACCAAAGGCATCAGAAGATAAACTAATCAAAGTTACAGAAAAATGTATCTTTCTACTGTGAATATCCCCAAATTTAGATTTATTACTTTTCTGGATGGCAAAATTCTGATCTCCTCAGCATAAGATGACTCAGCCTTGTCTCACAGCAGTGTGTTAAAAATAATAACGTTGCTTTGTGAACTTTAAGGGCTTTGTTAGATCGGACTAATTTAGCTCTAGAATAACAGCTTTTGGGGTCACATTTATGTTGTTATTCTTATTCCGTTGGGCTTATAGCACCCCCATCTGTTCAGAAACAGCTCAGAGAGCTCTGCTCCAGGTCTATCTCCCCCTGGGTCTCTGAGTATTTGAGTAAATCATAGTCACCAATCTTTGGCCCATTAGTGTGGACACTTGAGAAGCTGGGCCCTTATGTCCCACAGTTCTGTGAATTTAAGATTAGGCCTTTGGGATATTTGTTCAGTGATGTATCTCAAGTTTGAGAACAATCCTTGACAATATTGTAGGTGCAATAAATACCAACTGAATAAATGATTCAGTGCCAAGAGTTTTATTTGTTTGTTATTTTTAAGTGAAAGTCCTTGAAGTGGTTCTTGAGAAAGAATCGTTTCAATCTAGGGTAGAACATAAATATTATTTTGCCTAATAATTATTATTGCCAGGGCAATATTTGCTCAGATAAGCCTCCTTTACATTAAATTAATTAATGGTGAAAAAATACCCAAGACTTGGTTTATTGTAATGAAGTTTAGCTCATCCTAACAAGGCCATCTCTCCTTCCATTTATAATATGACCTTTTTTTCTTTTTAATAAAACTATTAAATATGTGGCCATCTTTTTAGTTTCCAATGAAAATACATGTTCAGGTTATAGAGTCATGCTTGGAAAAGATCTATGGAATCAATAGTTTTTGATATGGCTATTTATAGACTGTGTCCTCAAAGAACTTACTGGTTTCTCCTTTTCCTACACAAGAGCTGTGTTCCATTGTATTCTTTCATTAGATCTGCTGGACTATATTAATATTTAATTACATCGAGCCAATCATGGTTTGGGTAGACTTCAAAGGTTACATCATTGGCTTTTTCTGGTTTTCATCCTCTCTCCCCACCCACCATTTAGTCATTTTTTTATGTCGGCATCTTTCCCTAAGTGGAAAGACAATAATTAAAAATGAAACTGAAATGTATTAGCATTATAGTATGTCAGCTTTTGATTTTGAAATTATTAAGAAACCATTTGACCAAAACAAGATGTTTGGACTAGTATGATTCAAAGCAGTGAGGCTTGATGGAGGGAGGAAGGAAGCTGATTCTTTCTCTTCTCTTCGTCAAAGTGTACCTGGAAGGACCCTATGCTTTGACTCCTGGTGTTAGAGCAGGGATTTGACAGTCTACCTTTTGAGCTATCTGACAGCATCAACTTTACTTAGACTAATTCTGAAAAAAAAATATAACAGTTGCAAATTATTTTAACTTTATTTTTACCCTCATGTATCATACCAGTGGCCTTAAAGATAGAGGATGTTCTAAGTCTCAGTTCTGAGGAATGTTCTGCAGCTCATAGCCATACACACTTAGTAGGGATCACCTTCTAAGACGTTGCAGGTTTGGACTCTTGTTTCTTTTCAGAATTTTTAACAGCAATGGTTTACTTTCTTCCTTCAGTCATGGTCTTGACAGGTGTGTTTCACATCTCATTCTCTGACAAGAGGTATTCCACATAAGCAATTATTGTTAAACTCTAAATGAAGAAGATAGATTTTTCTTTCCTGGGACTTTTGTTCCTGTGGCACAAGTTTATCTATGTTTGAAAGGAAAGCTGCCTTTCCCTTACACTGTACATACAGGCAACATCGGTTTATGATAGTATCCCTTCAGGTCAGTCATTACTATTGAGTAACAGAGATGGTTCTTCACCTCCTTCTTAAACACAAGATGTTCATGGTATAATTACTCTGGGGAGACACTGTTTTTTACTTTTTGCCTTTTTTTTTTTTTTAAGACTAGATCTCAGTCTGTAGCTCCAGAAATCAGGCTGGACTCATGGTAATTCTCTTACCTCAGTCTTCCTATGATTAACAAGCCACCACGGTTAACACTTGGAAACTAAAAACAAATGGAGGGATAACTAGCAGAGTAAATGAATTTAACACAAGATAGTTGAAGATTATTTGGAGGATTTTTGTGGGACATGGCATAGAGAGAGGAACATAATTAAAAGATACTTCACAGTTCAAAGAGATAGAATAAAGCCTATCACACTGAAGCCATAGAGACACAGATTAAGCTGTGTCAGGGAGAATTTCACAAAAAAATTGGAACCCTCTGTAGCAGCTGCCTTTCTGTCAAGCAAAGAGTAGATACAAACTGGGCAAAGAAAATGTGGAGAGGACTTACAGTGTTGCTGTTAACTCAGAATCCTAAATAGCAGTACCTTTTCTTATGCTCAATTAAATATATGTTGACCAACAGTTAATGATATTTTTAAAAAGGCATTATATTCCATCACAAATGTATAGTCCTCTAGGGAAAAGGTTGGGCCACATGTCCTTAGACCAAGACACTGATCTGCCATTAAGCCCTAAACTAGAGACCTGTGTTAGAGCCTGTAGAACTCAAACTGGCTTCTGGGTTAAAAATGGAAGAGCTATCATTTAGGCAGAGGTTCTGTGAAATCATGGAAATTATTCATCTCATTTGGCCTAATAATGATGTATTCTCTTCAAGATATCAGAAGTGGTTTAGCATAGGAGAACCCTCCATTAAAGAACCCCCAATAGTTCAGTGTTTGTGAGAGGACAGGAGGATCACAGGGAGAAAGGCATCCTTAAGATCTGCTTTTGGAAGTCTCGAATGACATTTGGTGGTTTTGATGATTCTGAAGAAAGTGAGTTTAAAAGAGTGAAGGCCAATTTCATATACAAAGTAAAGTGCACGCACAAAGTACAAAACAGGTCTTTAACTTGAAAATAAAATAACTAAGACCAATATTTGCTAATTAAGATTTATGAGCCAAATGATTCCATTTGTAAAACTGCTTGCACCCTTTCCAGTCTGATAGGTGGCTCTTATTTAGTTTTTAGAAAAGGAAAACATTGCTCTTGAATCAGTATGGGGTGAAACACACTTGAATTTGGTGAGACTTTCTCTGACTGGAAAGAAATCAGAATATAAAGGCTAGTTCTGCTTTGACTCCATCAGATGTATGAGTTAAAAGCTTTCTCCAACTGTTTTAAAGGAGAACGGTAGATATTCTGAGCCATATTCTGATAAAGTTATTGGTCAGTGGAGAGTGATACCTCAGACAGTGATACAGTGAAAGGTATAAGAGTTGGGCACTAGGTTGGCTGTGTGCAGCCCTACAATAGAAAAGTTAGTTGGGGTTTTAGGCAAAGTTTGAGGAGGAGTTTTTTCCATCTGTGAGATGGACCTGTTAGGAATATGCTAAAAATTAATGACATAAAGTGAAAATATGTTGCTCAGCAAATAGGAAGAACTCTTCCTAGTCAGGAATAGACTTTGGAAGTTGGAGCAATGCATGTGACTTTAGTCCCAGGTACTTGGGAAGCTGAGGTGGGAGCTAAGGCAACGTAGGGAGACTCCATCTCAAGACTTCAGGAAATGATGTGGGTCAGTCTGTTACAAAGAAAAGAATTCCATTTCTACGAGGGTTCCTTAAAAGGAAGTGTCTGATTCGATTGTTTTAGATGTCAGTCACCTATTTCTTTCCATACATCTTGAGAGACATTTTGTCTCAGTAGACGATTCCAGGGTTGTAAGCTCCTTATTATCAGGAAACTTTCTCTAAGAACTGAAATACCTCACAGTGCAATACAAACCTCTTGTTGATTTCATTCTCCATGGGAAGAAAATGGCTTGGCCGTTATCTGTAAGGGGTCACATTTGCTGTCTGTTATTGCCTATTGTCTACTATTTGAAAACTAAGTCATAAAAGCGTGTTAAGGTGTTGATCCTTATCCTCTTGGTGAACATCGGGACAGTTGTTGATTAACTCTTAATTTCATACTGGGATCAGATTTAGATAATCTTATTGTAGACTAGTTCTTTAATTACTCATGCCTTTCTCCCTTTACTAATAGTGTATAATGGATACCCAAGGAAGATTAATTCTGGCTCTGCGCCTCTTCTCCATCTATAGGTAGAAATGGTATCATTAAATCCCAGTTGTGTGATCTGCTTTTAGAATTTAATTCCATACACAGCATTACTGGATGAATGTATTACTAATACTCTAAATGTTTTTATATCTCCCTTTCTATGTGTGTGCTACACTTTGAAATAAAAATTAGGGTACTAACTTCCTAATAGAGCAAAAATTCATGTGCAGCATAAGAAAAAAATTGTTTGGTTAAAATAATTCACTAGTTGATGAATGGCACATAGCTTTTGTTTAATATTACACAGTTATGCCTGGATTAAATAATAATAAACTTGATAAAGCCCTCTGAAAAACAGCTGCTAAGCATACTGCTTCTGGAATGTAATCATTAGGAGTAAATATTCTCATGTTCTATACAATTACAGAATGTTAGTGGAAGTTTATTGTAGACTATTTTGACAATGAATGTCAGTTTATTTATTAAATGAATTTTTTTAAAGTAATTTTATCCTTTTTGGTTGATTGGGACATTCAGGTCCCTGATATAAAACCTTTCAAACAATTGGATGCTGGCTTCTAACTACTCATTGAAGTGTCCATCTAGCCTGCCAGATGTTAGCACTCCTTTGATAGTGTGTAAATGAGATACACAGAATTTTCTCAAGTAGTGCATGAGCAAAATTGCTGTTTTCAGAAAAGAAAACAATTCTCAAGTAGTAAAGAACTAAGACAAGAACTTGAAGAAAGTGTGCCCTGTATGTTATTGCACACACTGTAATGCATGACTTCAGCATAATGATGACATACGATGCAAAATATTTCATTCTGGAAATCTCCACAGCTAGTTAAAATACTTGTAGAAGCTGCTTTGTGGAGACTTAGAAAATCCCTTATTTTCTTCATTTTCTTATCTCTCCATGAAAACACTAATGTTTTATACAGTTTCAGCAAACAAGTTGACCAGTAGATTTATAAACTCAGATCCTAATCTATGATTGCTGGCTTTGTGCACAGGATCTCAGTAAACTGCACACATGTATGTATCACTATACCAATCTTAGCCATCTACTTTAATAGAAGCATAGTTCTTGGTTTTAAATGTGATATGCAGATATTAACCATACAATATATCTTTTGTGTCCACGTATTAAGTTTACCTAAACAAAAAGGCCATTATAAATATAAGCCATTGATAACCTGAGTATAATTACTTCAAAACATTGCATAGAAAGATGATTTGTAAAAAATTTAGTCCAGTTTCAAAAGGGGGACAAAGAGGAACCAGGAACACACACACAAAAAAAGCATTTTTAAGTAAAACCGTATCTTTAAAAATTTCAGATAATTCACACAGTAACTCGCCCCTCTGAAGTATAAAATTCAGTGTTTTTGGTATACTCAATATATTGTACATTGTCACTACT